AAAAAAAAAAAAAAAAAAAAAAGATGTTTGAGGTAACAGATATCCTAACTGCCCTGAATTTATCATTATACTTATATGAATTTATCTAAACGACATATAGTCCCAAAATATGTACATCTATGACATATCAATTTTAAAAACTAACAAAGGGGGCCAGGCATGGTAGCTCCTGCCTCTAATCCCTGCACTTTAGGAGGTGGAGTCAGGAGGTGCCTCTGAGCCCAGGAGTTTGAGACCAGCCTAGGCAACACAGTGAGATCCCAGCTCTACAAAAAAAATAATTTTTTAATAAATAAAATTTTAAATGAAGGAAATAGGGCTTATTTTTGAAGAGCCCTAGAAAAATGGATTTTACAGCTTTTCTGTGACAGTTCAAATCTCATCAAGAAATTTTAATTTATGTTCAATCTAAATCACTCTTGCTGTAACTCAAGTGCCTCCAATTTCTCTCCTACATAATTTAATCTACACTGTCATGAGATTAATACATTAAATAAATAAACAATGGTATATTCATATAATGAGATACTACATAGCAATGAAAGTCAATGAACTAACTGCCACACACATCAAGTAGAAGAATCTAACAAACATGTTAAGCAAAATAAACTAGCCTGGGGTCAGGCACAGTGGCTCATGCATGTCACCTCAGCACTCTGGGAGACCCAGAGGGAAGGACTGACTGCTTGAAGCTAGGAGTTCAGCACCAGCCTGAGCAACATAGGGAGACCCATCTCTACAAAAACTTCAAAAATTAGCCAGGTGTGGTGGCACATGCTTGTAGTGCCAACTACTTGAGAGACTGAGGTGAGAGGATCTCTCAAGTCCAGGAGTTTGAGGCTGCAGTGAGCTATGATCAATCACATCACTGCATCCCAGTCTAGTCAACAGAGTGAGACTTCTCTCTTTAAAAACTATACTTGCCGGATGCAGTAGCTCACGCCTGTAATCCCAATACTTTGGGAGGCCAAGGCAGGTGGATCACCTGAGGTCAGGAGATCGAGACCAGCCTGACCAACATGGAGAAACCCCGTCTCTACTAAAAATACAAAATTAACTGGACGTGGTGGTGCATGCCTGTAATCCCTGCTACTCAGGAAGCTGAGGCAGGAGAATCGCTTGAACCTGGGACGCAGAGGTTGTGGTGAACCGAGATTGTGCCATTGCACTCCAGACTGGGCAACAACAGTGAAACTTCATCTCTAAATAAATAAATAAAACTACACTGAGGCGGGGTGCGGTGGCTCACACTTGCAATCCCAGCACTTTTGGAGGCCAAGGCAGGTGTATCACTTGAAGTCAGGAATTTGAGACCAACCTGGCCAACATGATGAAGCTCCGTCTCTACTAAAAATACAAAAATTAGCTGGGCATGGCAGCAGGCACCTGTAATTCCAGCTACTCAGGAGGCTGAGGCAGGAGAATGTTTTGAACCTGGGGGACAGAGGTTGCAGTGAGGCGAGATTGAGCCACGGCACTCCAGCCTGGGTAACAGCAAGACTCTGTCTGAAAAAAAAAGAGCCGGACCTGGTGGCTGACACCTATCATCTCAGCACTTTGGGAGGCTGAAGCGGGCAGATCACTTGACCCCATAAGTTCAAGATTAGCCTGGGTAATGTGACAAAACCCTGTCTCTACAAAAAATACCAAAATTAGCCAGGCATAGCGGCACAAACCTACAGTCCCAGCTGCTCAGGAGGCTGAGGTGGAAGGATCACCTGAGCTCAGCAAGTTTGAAGCAGCAGTGAGCCCTGATTAGCACCATGGCACTCCAACTTGAGCAACAGAATGAGACCCTGTCTCAAAAAAAAATAAGGTATATGTAAAATACCTCCCAAACTCAAAGACTCTTATTTTAAATGCTAAAAAACATTGGACACTCTGGCTCATGACTATAATCCCAGCAGTTTGAGAGGCTAAGGCAGAAGGATTGCTTGAACTCAAGAGTTGAAGACCAGCCTGGACAACATAGCAAGACCCAATCTCTAAAAAAAAAATTTTTTTGTAATTAGCCAAGCATGGTAACTCATGCCTATAGTCCCAGACACTCAGAGGGCTGAAATGAGCATATCGCTTGAGCCCAGGAGGTCAAGGCTGCAGAGAGCCATGTTCGCACCATTGCACTCCAGCCTGGGTGACAGAGCAAGATCCTGTCTCAAAAAACTAATAATAAAATGTAAGCCTGGGCACGGTGGCTCATGCCTGCAACCCCAACACTTTGGGAGGCTAAGGTGGGCAGATCACTTGAGGTCAGGAGTTCCAGACCAGCCTGGCCAACATGGTGAAACCCCATTTCTACTAAAAATACAAAAATTAGCCAGGCATGGTGGTGCACGCCTGTAGTGCCAGCTACTCAAGAGACTGGGGCAGGAGAATTGCTTGAACCTTGGAAGCAGAGGTTGCAGTGAGCTGAGATTGCACCACTGCACTTCAGCCTGGGCAACAGAGCAAGAATCCATCTCAAAAAACAAACAACAACAAAAAACAATAATGAAAATAAATGTTAAGACAACACAGTTATTTCCTGGCTCAAGAAAGAACTTAATTTATTCTGCTTATTCCAAATCAGACCTGATAATCCTAATGGAGTCTTTGGGTTTATATAAGAACTCTATATAACAGACATTTAAAAACCTATCTGGATTCCATGACCTCTTGTCTATAATACAGATTCGTGTCATAAACATGCACAGAGAAAGTATTCAACAAATATTTACTAATGATACACAGCACAGGCAAATAGGATAAAAATTAAGCTTATTGGCCTAAAGAGCCCAACTTTTAGAAACCCCATTTTTAGAAACTAAATTACAGAATACACTACTTATACGGAAGAGAACAGCTTATAACAATAGCATGGCAGAGGAAATTAGTCCTTTCCCCCATCACTGCCTGACTCACACAAAGCACAATCAACTTCCTGAGGCCCTATGTGAAAGAAACACAGCCACAGCTCTGCTCTAACAGCAGGGACTACTAAAACCATGACTGATGGAAGCCTGGCAAAAGGGAGTTAGCTGAGGCAGATGACAATAACATTTGGAGGAAAAAGGAAATGAGAAGTACCTGACCTTATGCCTGAAAACTCTAAAATCATTACCATTCCTACTTTTCACAATGACTGTAAACGAAAATTTTTGGACTCTCCCTAGAGTAGAAGCAATGTGTCTAATTAGATGGATGATTAATGATAAGCCATGAACTTTTTTTTTTTCAGATGGCTCTGTCACCCAGGCTAGAGTTCAGTGGCACGAACATGGCTCACTGTACCCTCAACCTCTTGGACTCAAGCCATCCTCCTGCCTCAGCCTCCCAAGTAGCTGGGACTACTGGCATGAGTCCACATGCACAACAAATTTTGAAACATTTTTTGGTAGGAATGGGGTCTTGCTATGTTGCCCAGGCTGGTCTCAAACTCCTGGGCGCAAGTAATTCTCCTGCCTCAGCCTCCCAAAGTATTGGGATCACAGGCATGAACCACATCACCTGTCCGGTAACAAGTTTTTTAAAGGGCAAATCACAATGTAAATTAACTTGGTCCTGTTACCATCACCAGTGACACTGTTTTGTTCTGTTTTAAAAATGCAGTCAGGCACATACATGTTAATCCCAACACTTTGGGAGGCTGAAACAGGTAGACTGCTTGACAACCAGGAGTTCAAGACCATCCTGGGAAACATAGCAAAACCCTATCTTTACAGGAAAGCCTGTAGTCCCAGCTACCTGGAAGTCTAAGGTGAGAGTATCACCTGAGCCCAGGGAGGTCAAGGCTGCAATGAGCTATGATCATGCCACTGCGCTCCAGCCTGGGCAAGTGTGAGACCCTGTATCAAAAAAAGAAAAAAGCAAGTAATACATCTTCACATGGAAAATAAAATACAAATAAGAAAGAAAAGTATATGGAAATCACAGGTCAAACTTACTTACAAGAGCAGAGTCTTTGGTCTTTAAAATAGGCATAGAAAAATACTATCTGCTGGTGAAAGATCTGCCTCTAATAGAGGATGTTGATCTGAGACACTGAGGCATTTGGTCCAGCTGAGTATAATTATATGCCAAAGAAAACAGCAACGAGCAAATCACACACAAAGTCCATGAAAGCTAATTGGAGATCTCTAAACATATACATAATGAAAACCATCTATGGGTGGGAGTAGGGTAAGGCCTAAAAACTACCTGTTGGGTATTATGCTGATTACCTAAGTGACAAAATTATCTGTATATCAAACCTCTGCAATATGACAATATGCAATTTACCAATGTAACACAACTGCATATGTACCCCTTGAACTTAAAAGTTGGAAAGAAAAAAATTAATAATAATTAAAAAAAAAAAAAAACATGGGCCGGGCGCGGTGGCTCAAGCCTGTAATCCTAGCACTTTGGGAGGCCGAGGCGGGTGGATCACGAGGTCAAGAGATCGAGACCA